GTGGGGGGGGGTGTCTGAGTTTGGTGAGGTTGAATTTCTAACTGGTGCAAAGACGTTCGTGGGAAGTTGGGTTCGATCCTGGACTCTCCGTAAAACAACAGGCTAAGTCTTCACCTAGTCAACCACAGTGGAAGGAAGTGATAGCTGCTAGGCAATAATAAAGATCTCAAGTCGAGCATCTCTAGTCTCATGTCTTCCCTCTGCATACACAAGAATTGTCGGGGGTTTTCCCCCCAGAAATGTAGGAGCGATAGACAATAATACAGGCAGTTTACGATCTCCAGGAGTCTAATGAGCTCCATAAAACTATCGGGAATATTCCGAGGATTTCTTTTATTTCAGGGACACGCATATTTTATGAGCTGCACGATTATCAATGATGTCAAAATAAAACATTTAGGGATTTGACCGTCGCAGCAGAAGAAATGTAATGCGTAATTAATGTCGGTCGACAATATCCGAGAGCGATCACGGTGGGTGCATATTTGACGAGGGGCCAAGGAAAGGTTTGTTTAATATTATATATTTCTGCAAGGTTTTCCTCTAAGAGACTGTAAAAAAAGCTTCCCTGGCTGCAAAAAGGGCAGAACGCTAAGGGGGCGCTTGTCTTATGCGATTTCCATTACCTTCATCAAACAACAGGATTATCTTCCTTGTTTACGTTTTCAATCTCTGAGAATGAGCTCTTGTTTTCACAACGCTACCATTTCTTGTCCCTCCTTTTCTGTTTGAGGTTTTTACGGCGCTCGCAACTGCTTAAGGTCATGTGAGTGGGTGCGCCCTCCCTCTTTATCTAACTATTTATACTTTTGTCTGTATATTTATCCATCTATCTATCTGTCTGTCTAGTAGTAGTAGTAGTATATGGTTTTATGGCGTATACTACTACTACTACTACTACTAGACAGACAGATAGATAGATGGATTAATATACAGACTAAAGTCTGTCTGTCTATCTATCATCTATGTTGTTGTACACGTAAGCAAACATAAGGGTAACGGATGAGCAAGGCATACCAAGTAATTTTTAACCAATTCCGAGCGCTGTAAATTACAATCTATAGTTAAGTGCCTAGAGCCTAGTTTCCAGTAAGAGTAAAGGAAAGTAAGAAACGATGAAGTCAAGTGAGTTTCTGACACACACCTGGAGAGCGAGATTTTTTGTGTGTGGGGGGGGCTTGGCGTTCACGTCGAGGCCTGCCTTGCTGCTGTTCCCTTTTACTACTGTCACAATTTTAGACAGATATTCGCCCATGTTTGCAATCAGGACTGTATCATCTGCGTATCTCATGTCATTGATGTTGCGGCTCCCAATGGGTTTTCAGATCAAAGTATTTGATAATAAACACCATATAAATGTGTAAAAGATCGGGAGAGGGGGCACGACCTTCTCTCACTCCTCTATGGATTTCAGTATATTTTGATAGTTCATTGCACGCTTTAATTGCTGTCATCTGCAGCTAGTAGAGATTTCCTATGATTCTGATATCTTTGCTGTCAATACCTAGATCCCTCTTTTCCAAACACTCAATCAGCCTGATCTGATGGATTCTG